CTCTGCTCTCTAGCAGTAGCGGGATTTCTTCCTCGCAGGCGCCCGATGGGGGAAGAGGGGGGTCAGGGCTGGTTGGGAGGGGGTGGCTCAGCCCCAGCTCTTATAGCCAGTGGGGCCAGGCTGGAGCATGTGGGGCTGTGGGTTCCGGTGGGGAGGGCCATTCTGGAGCTCTGCCAGCCCCAGGGGCCACGCTGCTCGGGACCGACCCCTAGCAGGGCAGGACTGAGACCAGGAATACAGGCGCCAGGGCCCCTCCATCCTCATGGGGTCAGGAAGCAGCAGCTGCGTGGGGATGTGGCTCCTTCCTCCGGAGCATCAGCCACTGGTCACAGCGGGGGCGGGATCCTGGGCCCCCAAGCACCCCCTGCGGGCGTCGGCACAAAGGAACGCGGCCGGCTGATTGCTCCGCTAGTGCTCAGGGGCCGGGCTCCCTCGTCTGCCTCTGCCGGAGCCCAGGCAGTCCTGGAACGGAGGGTGGACAAGGGGCTGGGAAGCCGGAAACGCCACCACTGTGCTATGACCTGCACTAGTCAGGCTGCCTGGGGGCACGTCCCTGGGGTGGGGGCGAGCGGGCCCTGCTGCTCTAGTCCCTGCTCTGGGGGGGCGGCTTTGCACAGGACGGATCCCGCCACCAGCCTGACTTGGAGCTGCATGGGTGGAAGGTGGGTGTGAGAAGAGCACCAGGCGGCAACGTTCCCTCTCCTTTTCCCATCTGCGTGTGGAATACATTTTGTGTGATGCACCAGGGCACGTGCACCACCCTAGGAACACCGGCTGTGGGCACTCTGCTAATCAGCTTGGCAGCACCGGAATCTCGCCTGGGGGCCGCCCAAGTGCTCGGCGTACGGGGAGCCCTGCCAGGCGACAACGATCACTGTTCAGCTTGCCAGCCAACCCCTGAGCGCTGCTCTCGGTACGGCCGTTCCACCCCGTCGAGTGGCTTCACCTCGCCCAGGGCCCCTGCAGCCCCCGAACTCGAGATCTGTCATGTCTCCGGCTCTCCCCGCCAGGAGGCCGGTGCCTGGCAAAGGAGGCCGGTGGGGATGGGGGGGGCCGTTGGTTTATTTAGTTCTCGACACCCCCAGGCTCCTTTGACCCCGGCGGTCTCTTCGGGGCCTCACCCTGGTGGTTTGGCCACTTGCTCCAGGATGGGGCCAGGCGTGGACACTGCCCAGGGCCTCTGGTCCTGCCCCCTGTGCCATCCAGCTGCCCTGTTTGCCCTTCTCCAGGCCCCCGGGGGTGCGCCTCACCCGCCCTGCGGCTTGGGTCCCTCCCGCGGCACGGGGCCAGGCTCCCCGGGGGCTGCGCTCTGCTGTGCACGGGGCCGGGCCTGGCAGCCAAGCAGGTAA